AATTCGTACCAATGATACTGTCTTTCTCCAACTCAGGTGCTCATTGTTAAGGACTGCTTTCGATGACCGCAGTTTCCAGGCACCTGATAATCGGGTAACTGGTTTTTTTGAAGAGAAAGAAAGTTCTGAAGAAAAGGGTCTAAGACTCCGTCAGGTCGCGTTAGTTAATTTATTTCAAGAGATTAATCTACTTCCTACGCAAACGAGCGAAGCAACCGCAAAACATAAGCGTCAGGGACTTTTAAGTGCTGCAGAGGCAGCTGAACATTATGATAAAGATGAATCTAAAATTACTGGTTCGGGCACTGCCACTCCCCCATCTGAAGAGGCAGAGGAAGGAAAAGAACTTGAGCAAGACCAACTTGACACGTTATATAGCAAAGCTCAATCCTTTGATTTTAATGCTCCTGAAGCAGAACCAGCAAAAAGTTTTGCAATGGATTTGCGACCATATCAAAAGCAAGCATTGTATTGGATGATGGCGAAAGAGCGCGACGAGCAAGATAATAAGAGGAAAGCCTCGATGCATCCTCTGTGGGAAGAGTACGCTTGGCCTTTGAAGGACATGGATGATAAAGAGGTCATTCAAATTGCTAATCAAGATAAATTCTACGTCAATCCATATTCCGGTGCACTTTCCTTAGACTTCCCTCTTCAGGAGCAGCATTGTCTTGGAGGCATTCTTGCCGATGAGATGGGTCTAGGCAAGACTATTGAGATGATGAGTCTTATCCACTCTAGTAAGTCTGATGTGGCTATGCGGCTCGATGAGAAGCGCTCAAAGGCTACATCAGTAAACAGTTTGCCTCGACTTCCAGCCAATTCATCATCTGTAGAAAGGGCACCCTGTACAACTTTGGTCGTGGCTCCAATGTCCCTTCTTGCTCAATGGCAAAGTGAAGCCGAAAATGCTTCTAAGGATGGAACCATGAAGAGTATTGTTTATTATGGTAGTGATAAAACAGCAAATCTTCAAGCTCTTTGCTGTGAAGCTAACGCTGCATCGGCTCCTAATGTTGTTATTACAAGTTATGGTGTCATTTTGTCCGAGTTCAATCAAGTTACCGCTAGGAATGGTGATAAGGGTGGTCATGGAGGTTTATTTTCGCTCTCATTCTTCCGTGTAATTTTGGATGAAGCTCATTATATCAAGAACCGGCAGTCTAAAACCGCGAAAGCATGTAAGTCAATCTGGATATATTATGGGACCAAAGAATGATAGCGATTGTCTCGTTATTGTTAACATTCTGTGAACCTTGACACTGACTGTCCCAACTTTCTAGGCTATGAGATTGCTGCCGAGCATCGATGGGCACTTACTGGCACGCCCATTGTTAATCGATTAGAAGATCTTTTCAGCTTGGTTCGATTCTTAAGAGTAGAACCTTGGAGCAATTTCTCTTTTTGGAAAACATTTATCACAATACCATTTGAATCCAAAGAATTTATGCGTGCCCTTGATGTCGTTCAAACGGTACTGGAACCTCTAGTGCTCCGTCGAACAAAAGACATGAAGACACCAAATGGTGAAGCACTAGTTCCTTTACCCAAAAAGACCATCGATATTGTCGAAATCGAGCTATCAGAAGCCGAACGCGAAGTCTATGATCACATATTCACGAGAGCCAAACGTACCTTCTCAGCCAACATCGAAGCAGGCACAGTTCTCAAAGCCTATACAAGTATCTTCGCTCAAATCCTCCGACTTCGCCAATCATGCTGTCATCCCATTCTCACCCGTAACCAAAGCCTAGTAGCTGATGAAGAAGATGCTGCTGAAGCCGCAGACGCTGCAAGTGGTCTTTCAGACGACATGGATCTTCAACATCTCATCGAGCGCTTCAAGCTCAACGAAGAATCAATCGACACCAATATCTTCGGGGCACATGTCCTCGAACAAATCCGCGACGAAGCAGAAAATGAATGTCCAATCTGTTCGGAAGAACCAATGATCGAGCAAACTGTCACCGGGTGCTGGCATTCAGCGTGCAAAAAATGTTTACTAGATTACATCAAACATCAAACCGACAGAGGTGAAAGTCCCCGTTGTTTCAGCTGTCGCGAACGCATCAATCCACATGATATTTTCGAAGTGGTAAAAGATGAAGGACATCCCGAGAGTAAAAATGGGAAAATTAAAATAAGTCTTCAGCGAATCGGCTCCAATGGGTCGGCGAAAATCGCAGCTCTGTTATCGAATCTCAAATCCATACGGAAAGAATCTCCGTCTATGAAATCAGTTGTGTTTAGTCAATTCACATCTTTTCTCTCTTTGATCGAACCTGCTTTAACGAGGTCCTCGATCCCATTTTTGAGATTGGATGGTTCGATGCCGCAGAAAGCGAGAGCGGCAGTTCTGGCTCAGTATAAAGATAGTGAGAAGGGAATTGTGCTTCTACTTAGTTTGAGAGCGGGAGGAGTGGGTTTGAATCTGACCATGGCGAAGAGAGTTTTTATGATGGATCCGTGGTGGAGTTTTGCGGTGGAGGCACAGGCGATTGATAGAGTGCATCGGATGGGACAGGTGGGGGAGGTGGTGGTTAAGAGATTTATTGTGAAGGGGAGTGTAGAGGAAAGAATGTTAAGGGTGCAGGAGAGGAAGAAATTTATGTGAGTTTTTGTGATTCTTTTACTTTTGGGGGAGGGGTTGCATTCAGGAATGGGAAGTGGAATATATGCTGATGGTTTATAGTGCGAGTTCACTAGGTATGATGAGTGACGAGGAAAAGAAATTACAAAGAATCGAGGATATCAAGGAACTTCTTTCCTAAACATCATATTTCAGAGTAAAGGATTATAACGGTAACGAGCAAGCTTGCTGAAGTCAAGCGAGGAACCCTGGCATAGGAGATACGAGGTGGGTAGATAAATAAATAGATAGATAGATAGATGGATGGATGGATGAGTAAATAAGTCAAACGACAGACGAAGCAAGACATACTATTCGAAAGATGATACAAGCTTTGTATATAAATACATACCGATTAGGTAGCGTATATTGTATATTTTATTATAACCCTATGGGTATATACATCTACTTATCCAGATCCATATTCATATCCATCCACCAACTCAGCCTCACTCACCTCCACATCATGGAGAGAAGAGAAAGGACAGTCTGAGATGTAGATACACCTACCTACCCACTCACTTAATAGAAAAGCAATGGAAGAGAACAGAATGGAATCGCATCAAGCAAATATCCTTCGTGTATATAATCCTCACCTAGATAGGTGTGCAAATTCACCATCCATCCGTAAAACTACCCACCTTACCTAGATAAATACCTAGATCTATCATCGATCTTCTACTTAGTATTCTCCAAGAATTTTCCCTTTTAAATATCTTCAAACATCCCCTTCTATTATTCAGTAAATATAAAATAGAATCGAATAAAGGAGATGGATAGGTATAAGTAGGTATGTATTTATAAATACATTCCTATAGATATCTATATATATATATCATCTATAAATATAATCTATAATTATCTATTCTTATTATATATTTAACGAGAGAGAGAGAGAGAGCTAGCTACCTACTCACTATATTATACCTACAAGGTACTAAGTAAACTGTTATAGATAAATAGAAATAGAAATAGAAATAGAAAGAAATAGAAATAGAAATAGAAATAGAAGTAGAAATAGAAATGACTCAATTTTTTCAGCTCTCCCCTCTCTCACCCTCTTCGCCCATCTCCCTCCTCTACTCCTCTCTCCCTCTCCTCTCCCTCCTCTCCCTCCTCTCCCTCTCTCCCCTCTCTCCCTCTCTCCCTCTCTCCCTCTCTCCCTCTCTCCCTCTCTCCTTATCTCCCTCTCCTCCCCTCTCTCCCTCTCCTCCCTCTCTCCCTCTCTCCCTCTCTCCCCTCTCTCCCCTCTCCCTCTCTCCCTCTCTCCCTCTCTCCCTCTCTCCCCCTCCCCTACAAAAACAACCTCAAATCTTTCATAACCCCAAACCAACACCAAGCTCTTCAATACCAAACACCCAAACACCCAAACACCCAAACACCCATCCATACCCCATCCAGCCCAGTATCCAGCATCCCCCATCCATCCCCCATCCAGCCCAGCATCCTCCATCCCCCATCCCCCATCCTACCCCATCCAGCAAGTAAGTAAACAACCAAGGTAGGTACCCACTAGACACCACACCTACCTAGTAGATAAATAAACCAAGCGAAATGCGAAATGCGAAATGCGAAGAGTGAGATGAGATGTTTATTTTTATAATATAGAAATATAGATAGATATCTATATCTATATCTATATCTATATCTATATCTATATCTATATCTATATCTATATCTATATCTATATCTATATCTATATCTATATCTATATCTATATCTATATCTATATCTATATCTATATCTATATCTATATCTATATCTATATCTATATCTATATCTACCTATCTACCCATCTACCTACCCACCTACCTACTCACCTACCCACCTATCTACTCACCTACCGACTAAATAACAAGAGAAAATTCAAAGCATCAATTCAATCATAACCACATCACAGAACTCAGAAAACACACAAACAAACAAATAGATAGCTCCCGAAAAGTTGATTCCATTCCAATTCATTCAATTAAACAGCTAATTAAGCAATACCACTTCTATGTATATATAGGTATTTAAACAATTACTAATAACGCTATGTAGGTATATTCTCTTTTCTTCTCATCTCATCTCTTCTCATCTCATCCCATCCACACAAGCAAGAGTAGAATTGTATTCCCTTTGAATTAAAATTAAAAATAAACTCCATTTTTTTTCCATCCCAATTCATTTCAATTCACAAGCATAAACATATGCAAGTGAAGATCCGTCCATAATTTAGGGGGTATATCCGAACAAAGCAAGTACGCCTTTAGCCCAAAGCAAATATCAAATCCTCTTTTTTTCCCCCGGATGCTCTATGCAAATGCATCTAATTTTCCCAAACGCCGATAATTTTCAAAGATTCATGAGTCATGAGATGTATATCTGATTAATGAGCTCCGTGGTCACTTCCATTTGCGCCATCCAAGGCGGGTAACTGTTCATAATCGGGAATGGGGGGTCCGTCATATAATTCCGAATTGACATACGTTGGGGGACTGGCGGGAACATTCTCATATAGAGGAGGTTGTTCCTCATCCCATGAGATGCCCAAGCCCGATCTCTCGGTAACGGTGAGGTTGAAGTGCATTCTTAAAACTCTTGCGCCTCCCGTTGGTGTTACTTGTGTGGGTTTTTTGATAGGTGCGAATTCTTCCGAAACAATCATCTCGACAATGAGAGTGTGGAAGACTTCTGTACCATCCTCAGCTTTCATATCGCAGATTGGTTTTGCATCAGGACGAATCGAGATGGGAAATTCGATTTCAATGGCTCCATCCGCGGTATCGTAATTTGATTTCCATCCAGATTTGATCTCCTCAGTAGCTAGAGTACGGGCATCTTGATGAGCAGCACCTTTCTTGTTCTCACCTTCCTTGGTCACTTTTAAGGCATGTTTGGGGCATGCTGGTGAGATAACTTTGTGAGTTTCATCCAGACGCCATGTCAAACGCTTCAACTTCCAATGGTTCTGTGTCTTTGCGTCCACATTACGGTTGACAACACCATCCATGCGCATGGAGATGTTTGCTTCACCAATTGGATAGATGACGGGAGGAAGTTGACAGTTGGCAGTCAAATTTGTTGGTGGAAAGATTCGGATCGAGTTTCGAGGTGTGTCGGAAGGGATGATGGCACGCTTGATGTTGAGGATGTGGGAGAGTTTCATTGGCTCGCCAGTCTTTGGCACTAATGTAGCTTTGAGGACGTATTCGATGTTGGACAAGCTACCCTTCATACTTGCGGGTAGATGTCCAGGAAGGAGGAAGCTGAATGGAAAGTCATGTTCACCTATAAATTTACATTAGAATTTTTCAACATACATATGAGAATGCAATGTAGTGAAAATTACCTTTGCGGAGTGTAGCTGGACCTTGAAGGAAATTCCAAGTCGTTAAATCCTTTGATTGGTGGGTACATTCCTGGCAATGCGCATGGAATGGTTTCTTTTGCGTGACCTCCAATGCCAATCGCATTTTGAAAGACTCAATTGCAAATTTCTCGTCGTGAATGTGCAACTTTAATTGACCCGAGAGTAATGCGCCGGTACTCGAGCTGGTAGAACCATAGAGAACCAATGGAGGTGACTCAATGGCACAGTCAAGTGTTGCACCATGATATTGGGGAATGGATTTCGACGAAGTCTTGGGTGAGTGAAGACCGGGTATCGAAATACGTTTGTGTGGAAGAGAAAGGTCAGGCATCTTGGCTGCTTTGTCTTCTGCTATAGAAGAGGCTGATGAAGATGGTGTGCGACTTTTCAACGATGGTCTACTACTTGAATTCCTTCGAGAAGTTTTCTTTCCTTCAGTTGGTAAATCAAATGGATGGGAATGAGATCGAAAGAACGACGTAACGTGCTGCATTGTTGCAGGCATTGGTGGGGTCTTTTGGTGGTGGCGTCTTGGACAAGGGAAATAGAGTTTTTTCTTTCTTTCCGTTTGGCAACCGCAGAACAGTATCGATACTGCTTTTAATAGTAAACTTTCATTCGTGTTGGAAGACGTTGAGTTGGAAGTGGTGGTTTGCTTCAAAGTACCCTAGTAAGTAAGAGTGAATGACTGGTGAAAAAGGTGAGAGGCGAGAGGCGAGAGGCGAGACTTGGAGAATTTGAATATCTTTTTGGGGGTGATGTGATGAGTGATGAGTGAGTGAGATATCAAATAGAAGAAGAGGAGGATGATGATGTAATATATAAATCTGTGATATGTAATGTAGGTATGTATTTTGGGAAGATATTTTAGTGATTTTGATATAGAGTTTTTATATTCTCTTTGTTTGTATGGAGATGTGAAAGGGTATATATAGCTTGAGTATCGTGTATATATGTCGTATATGTCTGTCGTATATATCGTATGTCTGTATGTATGTATATATATGAATGAATGAAGCAGTGACGGAAATATTATATTTTGATATTGAATCTTGGGACGAGTATCAAGCACCTTGTTGGAAGAGAGCAGGAAAGGACTGGAGCTACCTACTATACATATTATAGTATTGTATATAAAAATTGCACATGTAAAAGACGACTAAACTACTAAACTACTAAACTACTAAACTACTAAACTACTAAACTACTAAACTACTAAACTACTAAACTACTAAACTACTAAACTACTAAACTACTAAACTACTAAACTACTAGACTACTAGACTACTATAGTATCACCATACATACCCGTGGACGTCTCTTACCTGCTCATTAGACATTCTTCTCCAATTCTCCCATTCTCCCTTCCCTTTCGAGGAATTCTATGTGTCAAATGGATTTCTAGTCCACCAGAATTTGAAGTCTGTGATTTCATCTTTTCCCTGGTTACTAGGTACACATGCCAAAAAAAGATGAGCCATTGCCCCTCAACATGGGAAAATTCGAATTATCCCTGTGAGTTGTTGTGGGTCGTGGACCATGGTGCATTGTTCCTGTTCTGCGGCTGCTCAGACTCAAATACTAAATTTATTATTATTATTATTATTATGGGGAAAAGAAGAAGAAAAAATCGATTTTACCGGTGATGGAGGACGCAGGAATGGTCGTCTGTGTGTGTTATTACTACCTACAGTAGTTGGTCTGTCGTTAGTCTGTACATGGTATGTTTTTGGTCCAGCCGTTTTGTTTGGTGTTTCTAAGTTCTAACTGCTGTGACCGGTCTGATTTCACGCGGTTAAACATCGCACGAGTCGTAGATCATGGGACTAGAAGCATAGAGATTCTACACCGCAGAATGAAGTGTAGATGTAGGTGTAGTATGTGTATGTAGGTACAGTAGTAGGTATGTGTATGTACATGGTCAGGAAACTCTTTGAACCCTTTGAACTCTTTGAGGACTAGGTAGGTAGGTAGGTAGGTAGGTAGGTATGGTCTCGAGGCTAATTCTCTATATTCATCCGTGAAGCTTACTAGGTACCTAGGTATTGAAGGCGTATCATCACCAGAGCTCAATTGGTTTGAATTATACTATTATATGGGAATCTCAAATTCTACGGTAGTGCTAACCGAAGCAGATATTCATACTTGGGTAGATATTCAATGCTGACTACCTACTCAACTCAACTCAAGCAAAAAGAATTGGTATTTCCCTTTTAGACGTCAGGTACCTATAGAGTAGCATTGTAAAGGAGGACCTACATACTCCTAAACACCTCCCTTGTAAGGAATTACGTTTAGCTTCTTCTGGGGTACGCCCTGTGGATCCAGTGCATTCAACGTCAAACTTTTTTTCAAGCCAGTCAAATTCAAAGGTTTAAACAGCTGATGAGCAATCAGATCGATGACTGGTCAAATGTGCGTGAACATTCAACACTGCTATACTGACGACACTTGGGTATGGTCGTTGGTTGAAAGCACGTCAGCAAGTTCATATTCCTTTTGCGATGCATACGATATATCATGTATGAGTCTCGGAGTCTAGGAGTCTATGGATCCAGAAGTCTACTTCGTATACATCTATGACACTACCCCGATGGCCAGCCAGCTACTCGGCCTGTGGCTATTCTAAGATCACGACCGGACCTGAGTCTTCTATCCGAAGAAACGGCCATGTTATGATTGAGACCCTCGCAATTGTTCTTCCTCGCCAATGATGTACTCTACAGTCTGTACTACTATATATTACGATTATTCCAGGCATAATGACGGAAATCCAAGGATTATTTTCAGGATTATCAAGGGGTCGTATGCCAAGCGATGTTGATGGGCGAAGAGACATCGCACTAATTCCTACACAGATGAAGCGTTCATGATATTATTACCTTGTAAACGGTACCTAGTGCTTAGACATTGATATTGAGGATGGCAACTTTCACGAATACGATATTTCTCAATTCCCCATTACTGTACATCGTGTTCGCTCCAAGGAGCTGCACCTCCTGAGTCCTAACATTTCTTCGATTCGTGTTCAACTCCGCCAAAAAAAATCAACCCAAAATTGTGACAGCACGAAGAACACGATGGTGATATCACCACATACCACATGATGTGATTGATGATGGTTGTGGACTCTGGAATAACCCTTAGAATCATATTGAACCAATCTCAAGCCAGTCAACGATCATCACCCATATTATGATATTCTCTTTAGGCCATAAGGCTTGGAGCTCACGCCATCAAATGAAATATGGAGAATCTGGTAGATCATTCACATTATGAAGCGATATGCGAGCATGTCATCCATCCATCCATTAAAACTCCATTTCGGCCCACTCCGATTTTTTTTTTGATCTTCTAGAATCTTTTGGTTGTCAAGGGGATTTGCAATATGCTTCCAGTGTCCACTGTCAGCCATCGACAGCAAGAATTATCATGAAATTACGAATGATTACTAACTCATGGTGCAATCAATTCCAACACATGCGGGGAAATGATACAATTCTCGAGAGTCTACATACAGTCTACACTACAGTCTACAGTCTACAGCCCAATGTGTCAAGCTGTGCAACTTTTGAGAATTGTCTAGTATTTATCCATGAGTCGGTGACTCGTACATTGGGGTTAATTCCCAATCCCCCCACAGAATGGCGTTGCACAATTGAATTTCTCCTCGGAGAGAATCATGTGCTTGACGCATTCCAATTTGATCCTCTCCATCGGATCTATGGCTTCACCTCATGCATACCTAGGGACGGAAGAGAACAAGCGACGACATGGCATTATTTTCCATTCTCACCGTGAATCGTGATACACCGGGAACTTTTATCAACCATTCCAGCAAGAATCCCCCAAATCGGGATATACCTTCCCAATCCGGCTGGATCTGACAATAGCCGCAAAACCCCATCCCATGTGATTCCATCGAGTAAGAAAAATCACATTCGACGACAAACTGGAAACGCATCGTGCAACGAACCTCCATCTTAATTTTCATCGCGCTGTTCACAATTCCAGACCGATCTCTCAGCTGTCCAATGAAACCCGGAAGACCTTCTCAAATCCTATTCGATCATATTCAATACCTGTTACATAACATTAAACCTTATTTTGTCGAATCCTTCACCACTTTTCATGCCCTCATGCCCTCGTCAATATCAAGACTCAAGAGTGGAAGAATCACGGCGAGGTGGGAAGATTTACTCGATGAGATCCACAGGCAGGTACCTTAAGTATCCACCATCGTGTACTGTCGTCGTCGAACTGTTCGAACAGTTGAACGCATACCCAAAAAAAATCAGATCTTCCAAGCTTTCCAGATGATACTAAATTAGTCTGAGAAATTTTTAAAGAAATTTTAGACTTCCCGTCGCTTCGCTCACGGTCCAAGTCGGCTGTATCTCCACTCATGTACCGCATGTACCCTCGATTGCACTTTTCTAGAAATCTGATGTTTTGCGTGCGAGATGAATTCTACCGAGAAAAAGCGAAAGACATGGCGTGACAAAATCTTCCGATTGGATCATACGGATTCGGGGCTGTCCTTCCTTGATCTTTAATGACTCAGGGGGAAGACACGCAAATCCTTCCCCGGTTCGGCGGCTGTCTGTCTCCATATGAAATTTTTCTTTGACCAGCAGGGCAGCAAAATTTGGTGCAAAGCTTGAAGCTTGAGCCGTGAAGCTTCTTCTTCGTTTTTCGCTCACCGATCAAGGCCGATTCTGTGGATCTTCTCTACCTCCACAATTGAAAAGGAGAGCAGGGAGACCCCGAAATAGGAGAGATTCTAGAGCTCCAGAATCTAGATGGTAAAAAGCCTCATCCTTTCATCGTGTTACCATTTGTGCAGGCCTCAGGAATTGAAGATTCATCATCACTGTGGAAACGAACGGTGAAGAATGTATTGTTGGAGAATTGGAGTTTGAACGAATAAATGTGAAGAGTGGAGCCTTTTCTTTTCCTGCTACGTACGGAGTACGTGCATGGTTGTTGCATTGCAAACTTGCAATTGACAGATCATGATGGATGAAACGAAACGTCAAATCTGGGCAGGGGGATGTGGTTCTTGCGAGACGAATGATCATCCTCTGGTGAATTTTCTTCACTGTTTCTTCAATGGTAGGTAGGTGGATATCAGTATGGGTGGGTAATAGGTATGAGAGGTATAGAGTGTCGAGAGTCGAGACGGTTTTGAATGTGATGGGTGCATCAATTAACGTTGCTGGCATGTTACAGATGGCCGAGTATGTGTATCGTTGGCTTTCTCTTCTCCACAAGTGAAAGAGTCCAGATGCATATGGGCAGAGTATCAAAGTCGACAGAAAGTCTATTCAACAATAGCCCTGTGGTCAAATATACACACGCACTGTAATTATTCCAGCAGTAGTGCTGTGGATTTAAGATCATAGAAATCTTCTAACATTCATCGCAACAAGATATCATCCCACGGTTTGGCATCAGGATATCACAGTCTTCATCATTCTTGAAGGGCAAACCTGCATGGCGAGCGCCGGTTTCCGTTATGGTGGTCAACTAAATCATTAGTAGGTAACCTTTCCCACTTCATATCCCACACCCATAACATCATCAACTATTCAATCTCAAACCACCATCTTCTTTCTTGATCTGTATCGAATTTTCTCTCCCTCTTCCCCAGTAATACTAGATGAACATCTTACTTACAATCCATCAATCTACCTACTACGTACATCACTTTACCCTCTCCCCCAAATCTCACATCCCCTCCCCTCCCACAAACCACAAAAAACTAAGCATTCGCACGCACGCACGCTCCCATCCCAATATTCCAAGTCCAAGTCCAACTCCAACTGCAACTCACTAAGCCCTGTCCTGCCCTGCCCTGCCATGCCTAACTAAATTCCCTCACTAAAAAAACCCTTCTAAACTCTCCCCCACCAAACCCAAACAAACCCTCTATCAATCCATCCGCCCCACATGTACAAATAAGTATACCTACCTCAACAACCGAACTAACCAACCGATACATTTCCTCACACCAACTTAATTTTTTTGGTTTTGTCTTCTCCAAAAAAAAAATATAAAAAAATGAATAAATAGGAAAATAAAATAAATGCAAAAATCGATGCAAACACAACCACCTATTTGACCTACGCAGGGATCGAACCTGCAATCTCTTGATTCGTAGTCAAGCGCCTTGCCATTGGGCCAGCAGGCCGGGATTTGGGTGTTTGGATGGTTTGTTGAGGAGTGGTGGGGGAGGGGGATTATGTTGTAATAGTGGGGTGGGAGTATGTGTGGAGGGATGGGAGAGGAGGGGAGGAGAGGTATGTATATATATATATCTTTTTTTAGAGGGATTTTCTGATATATAAGAGGAGTATAGGAGTAGTATAGGAGTATCTAGGTAGGTAGTATAGGAGAGGTAGGAAATATAGGAGAAGTAGGAGAAGTAGGAGAAGTAGGAGAAGTAGGAGAAGTAGGAGAAGTAGGAGAAGTAGGAGAAGTAGGAGAAGTAGGAAAAGTAGGAAATAAATAGATATACTAGGTAGATATTGTGCGAGCGGAATGATAAGGAGCTTGGGAACTTGGAAGGAACTTGGAAGGAAAGGAAGGAAGGGTATGATTTTTCTTTTTTTGGGGGGGGGGGGGGAGGAGGAGGAGGAGTGTTGGGTGAGGAGCTAGGGTAGGGAGGTAGGGAGGTAGATTTAGTGTGTATGTTTATATTTTGATGTTTCTGGTTTGAAATATTGAAATATTTGATTAAGATGGTGCGAGTGTGAGTGTGAATATGAGCATGTATTATATATCATGGATACAATTTCTTCTTTTGAGAGAATAGGAAGGGGAAGAGGGGAGGAGGGGAGGGCGAGGATGGGAATAGCATGTTTTTCTTTAGTTTTTGGATGGATGGATGTGTGGATGTGTATATGGTTAATTTAGTTGGGATTGGAGTTGGAGTTGTTCATTGTGGTGCTGTGGTGCGTGGTGCTGTGATATGTGATATGTGATATGTGATGGTAGGATGGTGGAATAGAGTGGGTATATATGTGTTTCTCTCTTTCTCTTAGTAGAGGAAGAGGAGGAAGAGGAGGAAGAGGAGGAAGAGGAGGAAGAGGAGGAGAGTATAGAAGGAGAGCATAGATTTTTTCTTTCCCGACAAGTTTATCTATGTACTGGCTGGGTTGTTTAGGTGTATACGTGTATGTATCTGGGTGGATCATCATTACTGTTGTTCTTACACGTAAATAGTGATTCGAATCTCCTTCCCTCTCCTCTTTTCACAATACCACACATCTCAATGATCCAACATCAAAATCCTCATTCCCTACTATCCCAAACAACCATTCTTGAAACTTAGGCTCAAATAAAATACCGAAAGCATTCTTTTCCAGAAAAAGAAAAAAGGAAATGTCAAGTGCTCTTTATATTCCATATATCGACATATAAACACCTACAATACCAAATATGAACCCTGGGTTTCATTCTCTCTCAACTCAAAAGTACAAAGATACACCTCCGTCTTCTTCTTCAGAGGTATCGCCAGAATGATAATTCGCTTCGGACATGTTTTGATCTTGCTGATGTGGAGCACCCTCATTCTTTCTATTCGCTTATGATAGATCAGAATGTTCATTTTTGATATAGTGATTGTTGATTATTCGTTTTTCTTCTTCTTCTTTTTCCTCTTCCTCTTCCTCTTCATCAACTTCCCCTACTAGAGATTCACAATTCTCCTCCTCGTCATCATCTACTGCAAACTCAAAAATCCTCATTTTCAATACCATCACCTCCCACTCCACCCATCTCATCCCTCACAAAAGACCCACCATCCCTCCCCCTCTCCTCCGAAATCTCCGTCAAAGAATCCGGTTTCCACCCCCCCGGCCCTCTCATCTCCCTAATCTGCATCAAAACCTCCTCCCTAAAAACCCTCGACATCTCAATCAACACACCCTCTCTAATCTTTTCCCCTTTTCCATCCCCCTCCTCCACATCCGGCGCTCTCCAATTCAAATAATGATTACAATGACTTCCCGGCACTACAAACTTTCCCGGATGCACTCTAATATAATGATAACAGCAATAACACGCCGGCTTACTACACGCGATATTGCGATCCTTGTCTACGAAATGGAGATTCCTTGAGTGGAAATGCTGGAGCAGGAGTAACTCGGCGTGGATTTTGGGACGCCAGTTGGGGTTTGTGCAGTGGGAGGAGAGATGGGTGGAGAGTTGGTATTTGTGGTCCATTTCTGCGAGGGCGGCCCGGTAGGAGCTGATGGCGAGGGGGTCACTCATGGTTTGTCCGATGAGGGCGGAGAGAGTGGGGTTGCGGGCTTGAAGGGGAGGGGGGAAGGACGAAGAGGAGAGGAGGTGGGAAATGGTGAGTTGGGTGAAGAGATGAGGAAGGAGAATGCGGGTGGATAGGAGGATTTGGATGGCTTTGGGGGTATGGTTTAGACGGCCGATGGTGTGGCGGATTTGGGTAAATCGAGTGGCGAATGGAGAGCCGAGTTGGATGAGTAGCTGGAGGTATGTAAATTCTTGTGACACCGTTGTACATATTTTGTGGCAGAAACGGCAGAGTTGAGATGGATACTCGGTGAGACTGAGAAGCCCTTGAAGCCATGTGTGAAGATGAGTCGAGGATTCTAAGAAGTTGATTTTGTCAGATAAGAAGCGAAGACACATGATGCATATGAAACTTCCTACCTTCATCTTGATTATCCTCTTTAATTGTCTTCCATTCTCCCAACACAAACTTGATATCCCGAGCCAAAAAGATGCATAGGAAGAAATTCTCTTCTCAGCATATTTTACCGATAACTCGAATATGTTATCTTCAATCTCTTCCCTCTCTTTCTCGAAATCCTTGATCCCATAATACCCAGCAAATCCTAAAAGTCCCAACACCTTTTTCAAAAACTCCACACCCCTTTCCGGTCGCGAACACTTGTTCCAAGCAACATGATATACAATCTCCCCCGTATCCATCTGCTGCAACGCAATTGCAGTGGTGCTATCGCCTCCTTTTTCATAATCACATAAATAGGCTAGATTTCTTGTAAATGATCTTCTTAGCTTGGTTCGACCCATTTCATCCATTTCGTGCTTCTTATTCGCATCAAGAGCGCTGGTTTTCATATCAATATCCAAAATCTCATCGTCGAAAGTATCGGTTGGGGTTTCTTCCTCTAGAATTCGTGAGCCTCGGTTAGAACCAAAAACGGTGAGGAGAATTAACGCTTCGTAGAATCGCTTGAGAAGTTTGGGGGCAACGGGGATGAGGGATGGGGACGGGGACGGGGACGGGGATGTAAGTGGAAGTAGAAGTGAAGGTGGAAGTGAGGTTGTGAGTGTTAGGGAACGATGTTTTTTGGACTGAGATTGACCTTTTGGCGGGGGTTTGGATAGAAGCTGTGTTGATTTTGGGGGGCACGAGATGAATAGAGGGGGGGAAGTGGTGGGGAAGTGGAATATGGATAAGTTATTCTCATTGAGTCGGTGGGGGGTTGGGATGGTCTTTCGTATACTGTGTTCTTCTGGATCTTTCCCTTTCCCTTTACCCTTTCCTTTCTTTGGGAGGGATTTTAAAGCTACCACACACATAGCTGGAGAGGCGACATTTTTCCCCTGAGAATTTCTGGATTTGGTGTTAGGCGAGTTGACGATACGTTGGCGCTGTATATTTTCTTCGCTTTTTGCTAACTTGTTTTTTGAAGCCTGAGATACTTTGCTTTTCACTCCGCTTTCGACATTTGGGGAAAGCGGTTTAGTGACGATGGGAGAAGAAGCAGTAGAGGAAGAAGTGGATGGTAGAAGAGAATTCAGTTTTGTCTGAACTTCCTCTATAGTCACCCCCTTCTTTAAGGGTCGCGTACTTTTTTGAATAATTGTTGGAGTATCTGTCCCCTGCTTCTTCTTTGTACTGCTTCCTCGCCGATTTAGACTATGCAATGTAGTCACTTGATCGCTATTTCCACCCAATCCAGTTTTTAAAGTAGACTCGGACGTGCTTTTTGACTTTGTTATAGATTTCGTCATCATGGTTAGTATTTATTGATGATAGCTATGAAGAACTATCTCCCTCGAGGTGGAGTGCTAGTAGAGAGCAGTCTTTGTTTTATGTTGCGATAGCCTTGTTCTACAGTCATCCATGCACGTATGCAGGCATCTGCTGGCGCGAGTCTTGACCCCCAGCTTCCCCGTAAGTTGTCCAATGAGTGATATCATTGCGTGCGGGGTTCATGTAGACTTCTACGATATAATTGATTGAAATAGACACCCGAATCGAGAGTTTTGGACGGAGTGCAAAAATCACATATGGGCTCTTTCATACACATCTGATTTGTTACACAAAAATATGTAAAACATCTCATTGGTTCATGTGTAGTTACACTGATCGATAAAGATAAGGATTTACGAACGAAAGATGTATTTAGCTTGGCCTTATCCTGTGGAGTTAAGAATGAGGTGATGGCTTTAACTGTGTAGCGTATATACATGTGCTTCTCATCACATATTGAACTTTCGCGTGCATCTATCGAAATGCTATGTTCTGATACCTAGGAAAAGACGTTTAGGTTTGGTATATGATTTTAGAGTTATTGAAAATACCAATTCCTGGAGCTGTGCAGATATTCAATGTATGTAAAAGATTAAGAATCGGCATATGGATTCTAACACTCCACATAGACCCCCGAGTCTTGCTCTTAGACTGGAGAAGAACCTCTAACCAACCTGACAGCGTAAACAGACCATAGATGATTATGGTATGTATATTTAATGGGAGACATTGGCTTCGAAAGCTACAAACTAAGATACCACTAGACTACAAATTGTAGAACGACCACCCGGCGCTGCGAAGACTCAATTTTCGAGCTTCATCTAAAAATGAACATCATTTTCTGCATTCGAGTTAGGTAAAAATCGGATCAAATCGGATCAAATCGAGCGTCCGAATGTTTACAATATCTTACCAACTCATGGAGGTCCAACAAAAATTACATTAAAATATACCTTGCATAAGTGGTTTTGAAACGATTAAGAACGTATAGTGAGAAGCATAAGATGGATTTTTTTAATGGAGCAGAAATACTCAACAAGTTACGATCTTCTGATGAGTCAATATAACAGCTTCACCAACAGCTTGACTGGACTAAAAGATAACAAGTCCAACTGGGCTTATGTTGAAGGAAAAACGAACACATTGACATGAGTATACATAGAGATACAAGAACATGTTACAAGGGATCGTGCTTCCAGAAATTGCATTACAGAACCCAGGATTAGAGAACAAGGCAGACCAACGCTTTCTAGATATGAAATCTATAAGAATTATCAAAATGACTTCTTTTGAATGAAGTCTGATGGGCCTGGGGACTTTTCGGGCTCAACAAAGACCACACATTGCTCATTTCAGGAAAAATGCTGAGTAGGTGGCCTGCGAAAAATGTGAATCCAGACAAACAGCACATCAATAGAGAGGCTTGAAAACTTCTAGTAACATGTCCCATGAAGTGGTCCATTTGGCCCATATGTGTACGAGTTTAACAATTAGAAAAGTAAGCAATGTTCGAAGAAACATTAGCAAAACTCGAGTGCAATGAAACATGGTCAAAGTGAGACATGGAGATGATGAGGTTTTCACTAGAAAACGGGATGTGATCGTAAGTTCCAAATCGTATAAACAAGCTCACTGTGCTTTCCCAGTGAAGTTCTCCCAAAGAGGCACTCCTGAGGTGCTTTCGAGGTATCCGTTGAATGCTTGAAATTCAAATGGGCAGGCATTTGATCTGCAATTGATTACCTAATCCGAGCCGAGATTCTCCCAATCTAGCTTACGATAACCAAAGCTCCAGAGCTTCATGCCACATTGGAGGTCCATACCCCATTCGACATCATTCATTATGCGACTCCCTCTAAATTTGCTATGTCTGACTCTGTCAATACTTCCCAGAACTTTCGCAGTCTTCGCAGACGAAGCTTACACGGTCGACTACCACCACGAATTACTAGGTCTCCCACAATCAGACACAACCTTCTTCTACAAACCTAGGGAAACTGAACAAGGCGCGCTATTATATACATTAAGTGATCTTGGCGTCCTTGGAGCTATCAATCCAGGCACCGGGGACGTTCGATGGCGACAAATACTGGCGAATGATGATAATCACGGAGAGGGCTTTCTGCGACCAGTTGAGGGAGCTGGTACAATTATTAGTGCTTTGGGCAACAGAGTAGATGCTTGGGATGCGAAGAGTGGAAGGGAAAGATGGGGAAACACTTTCACAGGACAAGCAAAAGATGTGGAGGTAGTTGAAGGTTTTGACAATATCAAGGATGTTTTGACTTTATTCGAAGATGCTGGAAAAGTCGTGGTACGAAAACTTAATGGAGATAATGGAGATGTTGTTTGGGAATATGTTGATGCTAGTGGTGATTTACCTCTACAAGTCAGCACAAATGTTAGAGACATCTTTGTTGTCACTCTTCACGGTGCTTGGGGAGGCTATAGCGTCAAAGTTACCACTCTTGACCATTTGACGGGTGAAAGAGTTACCGAATACACACTCTCCACCAAAGGCGATGTTCATACACCGGAGGATGTTTTACTTGTCGGAGCCAACTCTGCTGCTCCTATCATTGCTTGGACCGATAGATCGCTAAAGAGTCTCAAGGTCAATATCCTGGGCAAACCAAGCGACTTGCAGACATTGCCTCTAAAAGAATCGGATGGCGAGCTTACAAAGGTCTCTATTCACGCGCCTAATTTGGCGCAATCCTTACCACATTTCTTGGTACACAGTCACTCGGCAACTTCAAACAGAGCAGATGTTTATCATATTGATATGAAAAGTGGTAGCATTAGCAAAGCATATGAGATCCCCAAGCTTGCAGGGAGCGGTGCTTTCTCAACCAGCTCGCAAGGTGCCAATGTCTACTTTACTCGTTTTACCGAGGAAGAGACCTTTATATTTTCTTCAATGTCTCATGGAGTTTTGGGCAGATGGCCAATTAAAGCAGAGAAGCAACATGACCGACTTCGATTTCTCCATGGTGCATCGGAGGTAGTCCAGAAAGCACCGGATACTTATGCTGTAAGATCAGCTATGGTGAGTGCGGAACAAGACTGGGTTCTGGTGCGCAATGGTGCTGTAGCTTGGTCTCGTGTCGAGGGTCTTTCTGGTGTTGTGGCTGCCGAATGGGCTGAAATACCAGCCTCTGAATCATTGGCAGAGACGCTCGAGGCAGAAGCGCACAGCAACCCCTTGGAAGCATATATTCACCGAGTCAATCGTCATATCAATGACTTGGAATACCTTCCAGCATACTTGGAAAAGTTACCAACCCGGTTTTTAAGCGCCATCTTACCTGGAGATTTGGTTACACCGAATGAAAGTGTTTTAGAACGAGATAACTTTGGCTTCAACAAGTTAGTTATCGTTGCAACCCAAAGAGGTCGTTTGTATGCACTTGATGCTGGATCTCAAGGGCGCGTTGTATGGAGCTCCAAAGCTTTCGATATACCAGCTGGCAAGAAGTGGGACGTTAAGTCCATATTTGTCAACAATGCTAAAAGTACAACAACCGTTCGAGGTAGTCAAGGAGAATACATCATCGTGAACACTACAACTGGAATGGGACTCGAGGCTATAAACCCTGGGCAGTGGCCACCTGTTCGGAGCGCGGCTATCGTTGACAGTAATCTTGGCAGGTGGGTGTTACCTATTGGTATCGATGGAAATCCTGGCGATATACCAAAAGATTGGGCACCAAAAGAATTGCTCGTGGTTCGGCGCGAGAACGGTGAAGTCAGAGGTTTAAAATTTGACATTCAAGGTGCTGATGCCAAACCTATCTTTACCTGGTCATTTCAACCACCTTCTGGCCAAAGGATCGTCGAGGTAGTCTCCAAACCCGCACATGACCCGGTTGCGTCGATTGGGCGAGTTCTTGGGGATCGTACTGTCATGTACAAATACTTGAATCCCAACACAGTTTTGGTCACTGCCGTCTCAGATGAATCCTCAATCGCCTCCTTCTATCTTCTTGATACAGTTTCTGGCGATGTTCTTTATTCTGCAAACCACGAAGGTGTTGACACTAAGAAACCCATTGCTTCTGTTTTCACCGAGAACTGGTTCGCATATTCTTTATGGAGCGATGAATTATCAACCACCACCTCGCTGCATGGATCAAAAGGATATCAACTTGTCGTCACCGATCTTTACGAGTCTCCTATTCCAAATGATCGTGGAACCCTCGGCTCAAATGCGAATGCATCAAGTCTTGACCCATCAGATGTACCAAATGCTGGTCCAGTTCTTCCCCATGTTATTAGTCAATCATTTGTGGTTCCCGAAGCGATAACCCACATGTCTGTTTCCCAAACCCGCCAAGGTATTACTACACGTCAACTTCTTTGTACTCTGGAATCCAATTCCATCATTGGTATTCCTCGTTATCTTCTCGATCCCCGTCGACCAGTTGGCCGAGATCCTATCCCTGCCGAACAAGAAGAAGGCCTTCTTCGTTACTCGCCTGTCATCGAATTTGATCCAAAACTCATCATCAGTCATAAACGTGAAGTTCTTGGCATCAAAGGTGTCATTACCAGCTCTGCTATACTAGAAAGTACCAGTCTGGTTTTCGCGTATGGAATTGATGTTTTCGGAACAAGAGTTAACCCTAGCGCTGCTTTTGATATTCTCGGCAAAGCGTTCAACAAGCTGAGTTTAGTGGCAACTGTTTTAGCATTGGGAGTTGGTGTTGCAGTTTTGGCACCTATGGTAAGTTATTTTACTTTGTCTATTGTTTCATGAGTGCTGTGCTAATATTATCATAGGTGAGGAGGAAACAAATCAATGGCAGATGGTTGAATGCATGATTATGATAATGTTATAGAATTTTGTAAATTATGATGATATAAGGAGGGTTAAAAGCGTTACTCTCAACAAAGATTAAGGATTTCACTCATGCTATTAGTGAACTCTATGTATGTTTTTTTTGGCATAATTCCATCTTGTTACGGAATTGCTATC